TCTTGTCCCAAATCCTAGCCCAATGTGCAAACGACTTAGATCTCTTTGGATTCATGTAAAGTTTGCCACTTTACGTGATGGATGGGTTATAGGAGGCTAGATCTATGTTTTGGATCAATTGCATGGCCTGGAGTGCTTCTAAATGGATTCAGAATGGTGGTACTCGGCGAGTCACATGGGTCGACTCGACGAGTTGCTTGCAGATGGCCTGGAACTCGACGAGTTGGAAGAACAACTCGGCGAGTAGGTTGAAGATAGCCTTGGACTCGACGAGTCTTGTCGAAGAGTCCCAAATATTCTCTGGTAGAGTCGAGAATCGGTGAGTCGAGGGATGACTCGGTGAGTCGAGTGTGAGTGGACTCAGAGTTGTTGGACTTGGCGAGTCTCGGGGTGACTTGGCGAGTTAGGTCGCAGATTGAATGAAGTTCTGATTATGGGAACTCAACGAGTCACAGAGTTGACTCGGCGAGTAGGGTCAGTCAGGGGTTGATTTAGACTGAGGACTTTGATTTCGACCAAGGGTTGGTCGTTGACTTTTAGGGTTTGGTCAGCGATGTGGCCTTTGGGCCAAGAGAGAGGTAAAATAGTCTTTTACCCATAAGAGGGTGTTATGAGAGGATTTATTCTAGTCTCGAGAGTTATATTCATGAGAATATTTGCCTTACGTGTTAGGCGGTGGCGAGTTCGAGATTCAAGTGTGGGGATATCTGATTTCTGCTTGCCAGGTGAGTCTTCTCACTATACTTTACCTTGAGTAGGTAACCAGAGTTATGTGTTTAGAGTAATTGTATGCTATATGTACGTGATGTGTTGTACTGCATTATTTCTATGTGATTTATGCTGTGCATGTTTATAGAGTTGGAACCGGAAGGTTCCCAGAGTTAGAACCCGAGGGTTCACGGAGTTTGGGTGCACGGACCCATCGAGTTATAGCCTCGAGTGGCTAATATGTGTTATGTGTGGTATTTTGGGGAACTCACTAAGCTTCGTGCTTACAGTGTTTTGTTTGATGTTTTCAGGTTTCTTTCAGTATCATGGGACGACACCGGCTTGATTGTACACACCAGAGAAAGAGTCATATTTTGGAGGATCCCGGTTTTCTATGCAAGTGAAAATGGAGTTATGTTTTGTAAATCGACTAGGAATAAGATTTTAAACTAATGTTTCTAAGAATAAAATGATTATTTTAAATGAAAAAAATTGTCTTGAAATTCACGGTGTTACACGTTCATATGTTGGAAGTAGATATGAATGAAGATTTTCATGAATTGGTGTGTAGATTGTCTAAATGGTGTTAGACATAGCAAAGAGTTGCTACAACGTTCATGAGTGCTTATGAACTGGTTTTGAGCATTGGAACAAACCCGCGCTTGCTGGAATCACTTTATGGAATACAATATAAAAGGTGATCGCAAGATGATAATATCATATAGTCTTTAAACCTAGATATATGGTTTATTATTTGTTAATTAATTGTACATTAATAGTGCGAAAACGCATCAGTAACTTGGTGTTATAAAACGCATTGTTGTGTATAGTTGGTTAATGAATAAGTAAATGCATATAAGTCGAAGTTTATCTGTAAACTTTATCCTAAGAGGGTAGAAGAGATATCTTGGCCACTCGATGATTTGATTTGACTTATGTGCCGGGCCCGGTCAGAACTGAATTGATGTGTTTGATTAAGTTCTATGTCGAATAAATCGAAGATCGAGAAATCAAATGCTAGACTAACCATTCCATAGGATTGTCAGCATGATATCTAACAGAGGACTGTACGATCCCTTATCTAAAGGACAAGATTGATTAGATCAGAGTTTGATAGCGTCTTTGAGAGCTACGATTGCAAACCGAATTGTACTTGTATAGTTACTAGACTTATCCAAGTGGGAGACTGTTGGAATAGTGTCTAAGGCTGCAACTATATTAGGCAAGTATTTGACCCGGTTGTGCATGGTCGTTTTGGGTTGCCTTCACCCTAGCAACTTGATTGATGATTTGTTAAGAGAGAGTAAATATTATAAGGAATAATATATGGTTATTTGATTAATATAAGTCATAGATTAATTGGGATTAATTTGGTGACTTAAAGCGATTAATTAAATAAGAGGGTATAAACTGTCAATTGTTTGATAGTTACACTTTAGACTATAAATCCTTATCCAAGATAGGATGGACGATTTCTAGGGCTTGGATAAGCCAAAATCGTCCATAGGGTTATCAAGGAAAGGATATGGATCAACTTAAAGTCTAATTTATCCAATTAGGGTTAAAGCTGTAATCCTTAAGGAGTCTGCAAGTATAAATAGACCCTAGGGGTGAGGGAATTCGACACACCATCTAAAGTAGAGATACTCTGGCCGAATTCCTCCCTTCTCCTCTCTCCTAAATCATCTTTCTTGCTATTGGTGTTTGTAAGCCATTAGAGGAGTGACATTTGTGACTCTAGAAGCTCCAAGACAACAAGATCAACAAGGAATTCAAAGGTATGGTTCTAGATCTATTTCAATGTTGTTATTTAACCTAATTATCCATTAGAAGTCTTGGATTCAAAGCATGTTTAATTAGAAAGCCTAGATCCGAGCATTAGGGTTTTGCATGCGCACATAGGAAAGTTTTTATGGCTGAAACCCATCACATTTATCAAAACATTTCTCAAAGAGAATGTATTTTTATTAAATAATAAAACCCCGGGATGTCATGTTTCGATACAGACAAAATGCATAAACAGTCTAAAATAGACCTTACAACACTTATTTATAACTACTGATCTATAATCCAAAATCTATCGTCAAGTCCACCAACTTATATTCTTGTGCCATTACCTGTAATGCAAAGAAAATTGAGTAGGTCAGGCTTGGGAGCTTGGTGAGCATATAGGGTTTTCAACCCACAATAATATAATTATTATATTTAATCATCAAACAATCAATCCAATTACCTATCCCCCATTATCTCCATTTATCTTAAGGATCTACCCTAAGAATCATCTATCCTTCATTCTTAAGGATTGACCTGAGGTATAGGCACGAAGTCACATCGTCGCTAGGGTTTACTCAATAGGCGCTAACTCCATAGTCACCAAGGTTTATACAATAGGCGCTAACTCCATAGTCACCAAGGTTTATACAATAGGCGCTAACTCCATAGTCACCAAGGTTTATACAATAGGCGCTAACTCCATAGTCACCAACTATCCCATCTACCCATGTTCTACCCAATATTTTCGTAGATACAAGTACTTACACAGTTTAAATAATTTAACACATGTATAAAACATCAATTCTATGCCCATCTCAATAGACAAACAATATATAAACACATAACATGTATTTCATAGCAAATACTTCGTATTTATGTGTTAGAAGAAAGTGAATATGCATTCTCTCATATAAACAACAATATGTACACATAACACGTGTTTCATATCAAATACTTTATAATTATGTGATAGAAGAAAGTGACCACACACTCACTTGATTAGAAGATGATCGGACAACACTACGACTTGTAGAAGTAGTATTCTTCGGTGAAACCGGGAGATCTTCACAAAAATCAGGCTTCTCGCGGGCAGAGCTTCGGCTCAGGAATTTCACTTCGCGGGATCTTCGGGCTTTGGGACTTGCTTCGGGTCTCGAGAATGATATCGGGGCTTCGGGGTATTTCTTGCACGCAAAACGAGGTAAAAACACGAAAGAAAAGGAAGAATGGAGCACCAAAACTTGGTAGCCCTCAACATCTATTTATAAGGTGATGGAAGAAGGATTACGTTGGACATAATATTTAGTTATGCTGAGCGTAACCTGGATAAGATCGTTGACTCCCTCCCCTTTGGATAATATCGAAATTTATAATTAAATTTAATATTTTAATTATTTAATAAACTTAAAAAATTCATATCTTCCTCATACGGACTCCGTTTTCGACGTTCTTTATATCCACGCGTAGGTGAGACTATGCACTAGAACTTCCGTTTAGACTCCGTCGGCTAATTTTGACTTTATTTTTATTATTTATTTTTAGTAGGCCAGGACAAGAAAACTCCGTTATAAACTCATAACTTCTTTATCCGACGTCCGTTTTCATCTGTCCTTTTATTGTTGCACTACTATCAACAAGATCTTCGATTCTCGTTTAGATTGTTTCGGCTAAAAATCGCTCGATCTCAAATCGAGTATTCAGATTGCATACCGCTAAGTCGAAACTTAGAAAAATCATAACTTCGTCATACAAAGTCAAATTTGGACGTACTTTTTATGCACACTCATGGTTTAACGAACTCTACGACTTTCGTTTAGATTGCTAAGGCTAAATATTGCTTTAATGTAAATTCATTTTTTACGTCATTCAGCGTCGTGCCGGTTATGTCGCGAAACTTTGACAGGTCATAACTTCTTTGTTATAACTCGGATTTTTGCGTTCTTTATAAGTAAGGAGTCCTTGTAACACATAATACAAATTAGTTAAGATTACTCCTTCTAAATAATCCTCCATCAAAAAGTCATTTTTTGACGCTTATCGTCTCTAAATTGACTAGCCCTGATCTACGGGCGTTACAATCTCTGCATCTATCTCAACATTTATTTCTTCCTTTGATTTCAAAACTACAAAATCCTTTCCTATATCTTGATTTGTTGCAGTTTTGTTGGGTTTCGAAGAACTCCCTTCACTAGTTGATCCAATTACAATGCCTTTAGCAATTGGCCTTGTAGTCGTAATAGTGCTATCACTGGTTCAACCGTCGAGATTATCGGTTTTGTTGTAGGAATATGAGTTGAAAACACTTTGCCGACAACTTTTGCTTCTACATTCGTTATCCCAGAAGCACCTTCTCCTCTACTAACATTTCTTCTTTCTCCCCATTGCATCCCTGTGACAACAGGTAGGGTATTTGTTGGTAAGAGATTAACCAGCTGAGACAATGGGGCTAACTCCTTCTGAATTGTGGTTTCAAACAAGCTAAACTTATGAGTAAAGAACCCAGGAGTTAGAAGAGATGATTAGCCAGATTTCAAAACTCGCTCTTTGTGTTCACTCAGCATGGTATCAGGTTTTCCAAAACTACCAATATCATTAGCTGCCTTTTCATCAAACTTGGGAAGAAGAGATTGATACCATTCTACCACTTTCTTCATAGCCCCTGCAACAATGTATTCTTTCAAAAGTAGAGAAGAATAATTTGTATTCAACTCATTTATCTCCTTGGCCACATCAACCTTCAATTCTTCAAGTTTACGATTGAAATCTTCCCTCACAGTCTTCATATCTTTAATGAACATAACATGACGTTCCTTCACAACCAACCACAGCTCCTTGATTTCATCATTGAACGTATCAGATTGAGCTTTGACATGAAGTTTGTTGTTTTTATCCATAACATCCAACTGGTGTTGAAGTCGATTCTCCTGAGCTTTGAGCATGAAATCAACTTCAATTCCAGATATAGAATGTTTGCTTCCTTCATTTGCTTGTGACTATAGCAAGGAGTTAAGTTTTCTATTTAGGATCTTGAACTGTTTCCACGACATAAGCATGTGATCCGGAATGTCTTCTTCTTCAGGATCAAATTCGAGATCAGCAAAAGAACCTCCAAATCCTCCATCGTCAGTGTCATCATCATTGATCAGTTTAGGTGGGTCAGTTGATTGATATGGAAAGAGAGAAATGATAGGTTGATTGATGACTTGATCAAAAGTTGGTGAATGTGTGGTTGTAGAAATAATGGTGACAAATGGTGGTAAAGAAGTATTGGTAGTGATGATTTAGTTTTCGAAAATACCTTGAGTAGACACTGGATTTTCTTTGTTTGAGAATCCTTCACATATGTTGACATTTACATCTGTATTAGATACATGTGTAAGAATGTCTGAGGTTCGAAACTCCCCAGTAAATGGCTTGGTTAACGAAACCTCGGGTGGTATGACCGAAGTCTGCGTAGGAGTCAATATTTTTGTGGAGTTGACATGAAGAGTAGATGTGTTCACCGTTGAAGTTTTCACAGAGCTACTTGAAACATTACCAATTGGTGAATCAAGAACTACTTTGTCTTCTTCGTCTTCCTGAAGGATCGATTTTCTCTTCTTCGTCTTCTTTGAAATATGATTTGCAACATCCTCAACCCTTCGCTTCTTTGAGGATGTAGAAACTGGTACAAGAATTTCACGAAGAACAACTCCTTTTTGAGTTACATGTGGCTTTCGAATCATTGAGGGTGAGAAGGTTGATGACCTTTCAGGAGATTTCTTGACCGATGAGCCATCTTTTTAAGACGCTTTAAAACACCATATTTCGTAGGAATAATCTGCTTTGTAGGATCAATTTTATCAGTCTCCTTAGGCTTTGTTGACTTCTTCGAAACTTTTGTTCCCTCTCCAACCTTTTTATTTGGGGACTTAAACACATTTTCCTCATGAATTGGTTTTGAAGGACTAGTTTCATCAACCTTCTTTGACTTGTGAAACTTCTTTGAAGAACCTTCATTAGTATGTTGTAGTAAAACACCGGTTTCACCATTTGGGTTAAAAGTCTGTAAGTATGCTAGCAACATTGGATTCGATGGATCAACCTTCTTGAGCATTCCATCTAGAATTCGAGGAACTGAAGGAAACACATTAACATCATCTTCAATGAGTTTTGGGTAATGATACTTCACAAACTCCGCCCTTGGTTCATCAATAGGAACCTGAATACCTTGCTTGCTATATTCATATTGAAGAATCAAACTCCAATATCTAGCACATGATACTCAATCCACCGCATTTGTATTCTCGACAATTTTGAAGAATTCTCTCCACACTTGAGTAGCATAATCAACTGCTAGGTCATAATAAATCCTAGCCACCATAGCATATACCTACAATCTTCCTTTATCCAAGCCAATACTTCGACCAGTGAGACATCGAAGATAAATTCCAAAAAGAAAATTCAAGATACAAGGAAGGCCTGATTTCTTGAACTCACTAATGTTGGTAAGAGGGGGTTGATAACCCATCTCATTGAACATGTGTATTACCTATTCATTAGTGACCTTAAAGAAAGGTGGAGAATTAGGGATTTCAAGAATCTTAGCAAAAATATTCTTGGATAGATGAAACTTCTTGTCATTAATCAGATTGAATGTAATTGTATCCATCGTTTTGTTGTAGGAAACAGTGGAACCAGCCATGGACAACCAAGACATTGGAACATCAAACGAACTAAACATCGCAGCTGATAAAACTGAATGTTTCAGAGCAATAATCAACATCTTGAGTTCTTCTGGATAAATAATGACATCACCATAAACTTGATAATTCGTACTATGGATCTTCATACTGGGATGAGAAGATACATCGTCAGTGGTGTTAGACTGAAGAGCAGCTATTGCAAGGGTTTGCTTGAAAGATTTGAAGAACAGAGAGAAAAGAAGGCACTGATCGTATTTTATTAAGTTTGGAAATTGTAAAGTTGGAATGAATACCCAATTACCACTTTTATATGTATCCCTAATTTGAATCTCAAACAGCTACGATTTATGACCGTGACACGTGGCCCTTGAAAGTTGCACCATTAGCCTTCATACACGCCATGTCATAAAAAGTGTGTGGCATGATGTCCGATAAACATGCACGGTTAACAAACCATCACATCAAAAGTCTTTTTGTGAGTACCCAATAGATAAGGATCAAAACCTTCGGTATGGAGGTTAGGCTCTTTCGTTTTTGGGTTTGAAAACGAAGTCATGTGCTAGATTTTTGAAATCATCAGCCTTATATGGTAATACTCAGAACCTCAAAGATTTCATGAGTGAAGTGTGCCAAAGAAAAAGGTAAGAAACAAAGTAAGAAAAATATGGATCTGTGATGTCAAAAACAAAATTTCGACATAAAAGCACATAAATCCCGGGCAAACATTGCTTCACTAATCATCAAGAGAGATAATCAATAGCTTGTGTGGTTTCCCGTGAACTACAATCGAATACTTGATGAGAAGTATCGAAGGGCTTCTTTTATTATGGCTTCAAAGGTAGCTTAAAATTTTGTTACAATGCACACTTAACATAAGTATGACAAGTTGTAAACAAAACTACCAGTTTGACCAGTGTAGTCAGTGACAAGTAAGCTTTGAAAAATTTATCAAATAAAGAAGGTTGAGAATGATACTCATACAGAAATCATATTCTTGAAACCAAAATTAGACCTAAATCTTGTTGGGTAACAAATGACGTGGGTGTCGAACATTTGATCAAGATTACTATTCAAGAAAAGAAGATGATTTTGAGTATCGAAATTAGGTATTGAAACAAAGGTTTCTTCATTTCTGGAACAAAGTTCCCCATCAATTCCTTAAATTGATTTGACATTTAGGGTTTCAATTTCATCACGTTCTTATTATGTTAGATCATAAACACATAATTTTGATATGTCTAGATCCTGATTGGTTTTTACCAGAGATCCCTTGGATATATGTCATTGTGTGTGAATGTGTAAGAATTTTAGGATGAAAAAGATTGGGTAAAAGAAACGAATGTACCCGTGCGTTGATTTGTCCTCGCGCTAAACTTTTAACTCATGTGAGAAGAGTAAGGTAGCTCTTGAGTGAATGAGAATATAGCTTGATTGGGAAGAAATTCTTAAAATGAGAAAACCATTAAGGCTTCGAAACTCATAGAATTAGCGAGGCTTTGGTCAACATGGTGCAACATGCTTCTAGGGACTCCTTAAGTAGTACATAGTTTTCGAATGTATACCTTCCCTCAGGCAGCAAGCAAGTACCACAAACACTTTCCAATCGCTGTGATGTTGAATATGAAATCCTTGATATCTATGCATCAAGTGTAAAAATATACAAGAGAGAGAAAATATTTTTAGAATTTTTTTTTATAAAAAGAAAATAACAAAAATAAGAAAATCTTTTTGATATTTTTGGATTTTTAAAAATGTAAAACAACAAAAAAATATATTTTTGGTATTTTTGGATTTTTCGACATAAAAGTAACAAAAAATTTGTTGTACTAAACTAACGAAAATTTGTGATTAAGCAGTTTGTACATGATGTCGAAATTGAAGCATATCGAAGTGCTGAACGTGAACAGTAACCTCTAAATGACATGCTATCTCCTCTGAACGAACATTCAACACCTCTGAATCAACACTTTTGCACCTTGTTCTCATGTCATTCTTTCGAAATCAATCCATGAACTGAATTTCCTTCGATCATTCGTAGCCCCCCAAAATTCTCACGAATGTGTAACACCCCCTCTGGCACGTATCACAATATTGTCCGCTTTGGGCCACTCGGCACGAGGACTTCCCAGGGGGTCACCCATCCTGGTACTACTCCCGCCCGAGCACGCTTAACTGCAGAGTTCTTATGGGATCTGCTGCCCTCACGGTTTTAAAACGCGTTGTGACAAGGAAGGTATCCACACCCCTTTATAAGGAAATGTTTCGTTCTCCTTCCAAGCCGATGTGGGATCAGATCTAACCCACTTTCACCCCCCATTATAGGGTTCGACGTCCCCGTCGAACACATCGACCCGTGCCCTAGCTCTGATACCATTTGTAACACCCCTCTGGCACGTATCACAATATTGTCCGCTTTGGGCCACTCGGCACGAGGACTTACCAGGGGGTCACCCATCCTGGTACTACTCCCGCCCGAGCACGCTTAACTGCAGAGTTCTTATGGGATCTGCTGCCCTCACGGTTTTAAAACGCGTTGTGATAAGGAAGGTATCCACACCCCTTTATAAGGAAATGTTTCGTTCTCCTTCCAAGCCGATGTGGGATCAGATCTAACCCACTTTGCTTCTCCGTGATTTAGGGTTTTCTGGGGCTCAAGGGGTGATAAAGAGGCTGGGAGGAAAACATAGTGATCTTTATATAAGGCTCAACCCCGAGAATTAGGGTTTTCTCCACTCAGCGCCTACTCGCCGAGTCCATTACACTGACTCGCCGAGTCGGCCACTTAACACGCGACCAGGTCGCGACTCTACTCGCCGAGTCCGCACATGGACTCGCCGAGTCACTCTTTCCCAATTTACTCTTTTAGCCCTTCAACTCTACTCTTGATATTTCGGGATGTTACAGAATGATTTTTCATCTAATGGCTTTGTGAAAATATCAGCAAGTTGATCAGTGGTTTTCACAAAGTGAACTTTGATATTGCCATCCTCAACATGATCTTCTATAAAGTGACAATGAAGAGCAATGTGCTTGGTTTTTGAATGTTGCACCGGATTGTGACAAATGCGTATGGCACTTTGTGAATCACAATACAACGGAATTTTCTTCATGTTGATTGCATAATCACGCAGTTGGCTTTGAATACATATGTTTTGTTAAGTGCAAGCTGCAGCAACAACATACTCTGCTTCTGCTCTATAAATCGATACACATGTTTGCTTTTTCAACTGTCAGATTACTAACTTCCCATCTAGTAGTTGACATCCGCCACTTGTGCTTTTTCTATCAAGATTGCAACCCCCTAAATCAACATCAGAAAATTCTTGTGTGAAGAATCCAGTTTTCGAAGGATACCACAATCCTAACGAAATTGAGCCTTTGTGATATCAAAAAATATTTTTCACTACTGTTAAGTGTGGTTCTCTAGGATTCGATTGATATCTTGCACAATTACAAACAGAAAACATAATGTCAGGTCAACTTGATGTAAGATAAAGTAACAAACCTATCATGCTTCTGTATAAAGTAAGATCAATAGCTGGTTTATCTAACGAAGGAGAGAGCCTTGTTCCAACCGACATTGGTACTCGTAATTCCGTGCTATTCGTCAAACCAAAATTTTCAAGCAGATTCTTTATGTATTTTTCTTGATTGATAAAAATTCCTTCTCTGCTTTGTCGAATATTCAATCCTAGAAAGTTGTTTATTTTTCCCATCATGCACATTTCAAATTGGCTTTTCATCAGATTTTCGAAATCTCTAGACAAAGCAGGGTCAATCAAGCCAAAAATAATATCATCGACATCTATTTGTACAAGCATAAGATGATACCCATCTATTCGAAAGAGTCTGGGATCAACTGATCCTTCTTTAAATTTTGATTGTTTTAAAAAAGAGGTAAGAGTTGCATACCATGCTCTTGGTGCTTGTTTTAACCCATATACAACTTTATCTAAAATATAACAATGATTAGGAAATTCTTCATTAATGAAACCTGGAGGTTGTTCAAGGTATACTGTTTCTTCAAGTTATCAATTTAG